TGCAGCTTTAAAACCCCAATGACTTAGGGAGGAGGTACAGGGCTGTTTCCAGTAGTGTCCCCAACCTTTAGTCACTGGGAGGCTGTGACATTCTTCTGGAATGCTGTAATGCAGTTTGATCACTGAACACATTCAACTACAGAGGTACTTTTCATGGCTCTAAGAGGTTATTATCACCTCAGTTAATTATCTGTAAGGATTCAGACTCTGGTAAACTTTAATTATCCTTCCATCAATCTCATGCTCACAAAAGCTTAGTAGGGCTATTTTTAGCAGTACAAATATCTCCTTCCTGAATGGAAAAGCTGCTCTTTTACTTGCATATCTTATTTTTAAATGTTAAACACATTAGACAGAACCAAGAGGGTTTTTTTCCTCTCTTAGAAACCATCCTAAGAATGTGTAATCCTTAATGGATGTGCTCAAAACAATACCATTTCCAGACCTGCATGTATGATGTTAGAAATCTGGTATGGGGACGAGGCAAAAATTATCAGAACGGGGTGCTTGAAGTCCACATTTAATCCTACAAAATATGTGACTGGGACAGTGGTTTGGTGCCCAGAGCATTCCAGTGGACAGGTGCCTAAATAAGTCTTCCCATCCAGCTCCTGTTAGGATAGGGTTTGAACCTCTGAGCACTGGCATTATATGCTTGATGTAGGAATAACAACAGCTTCATTCATTCAGAGCACTATGTTCATCATCCCTTTTGTTTCTAGCTCTGAGGGTTGTGATGGGATCACTCGAGGCATCAGCTGAACATGTACCAGCATAGCTACTCTGCCTGAAACTCCAGGGGGCTGGAAACAACATTATCAAGGAGGCTGTCCCTCAGTGAGGTGTTTACTCTGGAGCTTACTGATGAGCATTGGACTGTCTCAGTTGTTAGTCTTTTGAACAGAAATAGCCAGTAAACGTGCCCTGAGGCCCAGCCTGCCTCCCTGACACCATAAACCACATTTGTTTAAACCATAAACCATATAAGCCAGTACTATCGTCTCTGATAATGTTCTTATGCTTCTGTGTCCAGGCCCTGAGAAGGGAACTTGAAACATGAAAGGCTTGCTCAGTACAGGAAGATCTGTTAGCTAGTAGGTATTCTGGTAAGCAATTCTGATGCACTCATAGGAAAGGAGACAATTTTTTGAGCTTGAGGTACTGGAAATCATTGCTGGGTATGTTACACATTTTTCTCTCTGCCTTTGGGTGAATTGCTTTGGCCTTCATTTTGTACCAGGAAAGAAAAGAGGAGTGTAGCTACTGACTTCAGTGGGATGTGGATCAGGACACTTGTCGCTCCGTAATTTTTAAGTTTCCCATCTGTGTGAAAATTTTCTTTTAAAACCTCACTGTTTCAATTTACAGACTTTGAGCACTCCACAGAGGTTGTCCAAGGGAAGCTTCCCAGGCTGCACAGATTGGAAGTATCCTGCTGCCCTTCCCAGGTCTCTGGCTCACAAGCACACCATCTTGCAGGTTTGATCTCACTCCCTTGCAAGAGCATTTTGAGTTTCCAGGGCAGGGAAGTACTCATCAGTAAGGCTTTTTGGCCTAACTGTCACCAAAGTGTGAACTATGCAAACACACTCTGGGAACTGCAACATTTTGGTTTTATGCCACTAACAAGGATGTCCATTATCTATGTTTAGATCATGTTTCTTGCAGTGCTCTCTCTAAACAAGTGGCTCTGCAGTGGCTCTCATCTCATCTGGTTTTGCTTGTGACTTCAAATTATTACTGCAAATCAGTTATAATGTAAGCATAATATTCTGCATCTCCACGCTATGTATATCCTGATGTGAAGTTTAGTGACAAGAGAGAAAAGAGGGGAAAAGAAAACATTATCAAAACTTTGTTTGAAAGTCAGAGCAATAAAAAAAACCCTGAAAGTTTCAAGGTAACCCTGATTCTTTCTCCACTTGTTATGTTTTCCATCCTTACTCATAACTCTAGGATTCCTTCCCAACCCCAACCTAAGCAATATTGACAGGAAGGGATTATCCGCTGGAATTTGACATATTTATATCTAGAGAGTGCCAAAGGAAAGTCTTTCTGAGTGGAACAAAGCCGGCCTTATTTGAACTAGCTTCTTCCTCTAGAATTGTAGATGGACATCAGGGTGAGGTCCAGGAGTTAATTGTGTGATAAGTATTTTCTCAAAACTATTTTTTTCTAAATAGCATACACAGTAAAATGAGAAATTGCTTCTTTGGCTTTTATTCCTCTCACAGTGAAACTGGAATTGCTTGAGAAAAGATTTGTCCCCTTGATGCTAAGCACAGCATCAAGATAGCATCACGCTGGAAAATATTTTGAGATGTATTATTTGCATATTCATGGCAGCCAAGGGAACACCTGCTCCATAAGCTCCAATATAAAAAAAAAAAAAGCAGAGTTCAGGGGTCTCTTTGTCTGAGGTCTAGCAAGCTACAACTGTGATGCTGTATTAACTCTGAATAGCTCTGGGCTTTAGTATTTGCATTATAAATGCAGGAATTATCGAGCTCTGCTCACATAAAGAGATTTGCAAGTTCTTTCACTTTCTGAGTGCATGAGCAAGCACTGACTCCAGAGAAGTTACATTATATTGCAATAAATTGTATACTAGACACTCTGTAGAGGTTTTGATATGTGAGCAAGCAGAAAATACACTTCTTGCTTTGGTGTCCAAGACAGAATTGCCCTTTGAGCATCCCCAGTCAGTGTTAGACCAAGTGGGTTCTTGGGCTAAGGAATCGCTTTGTTTGCTGTTTGACCATCTCATGCCTGGATTTACAAATCATTGTGCACAAAGTCCTGAGAGTAAATATTCTAACTCTGATCTCTGGCATTGGTGCATTTCTGCTCATGGCTGGCAGATGGTGACAATGATTGAAATGCATGCAGAAAGGCCAGGGCAGCAGCAATGTGCAAGCACTCAGAGGACCAACCGGGATTATTATTATCTCACAGTGCCAAGTATCACATACAGCTGATATTAAACCCAAAACAGCTGCAGCTTCCCCTTACCTAAACATTTATAAACCAAGCAGGTGATGACACAATAGAGTAATAAAGCAGGAGAGCATTAAACACGGCACACGGGCGGGTGCCGCGGAAGGACCTGGGGAGGGAAGTGGAGGGGCACCTGGCGCCTGTCCTTTGCCAGCCGAAGGCGCCAGGCCGGGCATCCCAGAGGAGGAATTCCAGAGGCTCCGGCGGGGGAGCACAGCCCCCCCGCCGCCACCGGGGGGCGCCCGCCGCCCTGTGCGGGGCCGGAGGAGTTCGCCCTTCGCTTCATCCCCCTCTCCCTTCAATCCTCCCTCCACTTTTCCAAGGTCTAAATAGGCCCAGTTGTTCAGTCTCTTCTCTTGGAACATCTTACCTTCGATCATCTCCATTTTTCTCTTGGAGGGTCTCTCCAGCCCAACCACCCCTTTCCTGCAGCGCTTCAAACTGGACAGAGACTGCCCTCGGCAGTGCCAAGCCGGGCAGATGTTTTTGGGCTGCTGTGGTGTTTGTACATCTCAGACAGACTTTTTTCCCATGGTCATTAAACTTCTCGGCAGCTTTGTTTACAGTACCAGCTACGTCAAATAAGATGGTAAAAAGACTAAATCACTAATCCATGTTTTAATGAAACCTCTAACACACACATTTAGGCCACCAGACCACCCTTCTTGGTTATTTCACTTGAGGCAGTGGTTGAAACCCCGCTGGCAGAAGTCTAGGCAGCAGCACAAGATTTATCTCCACCACATTTGCAAACATAGCTATTTGGGCAAGCCCTTTCAAGAGTGGTCAAGTCCACAGTGCCTCAGTGTAATGGTTCCTCCCTTCAAGAGAGATGAAAATGAAGGCAGACGTTAATGAACCGGCTCAATCAATACCTCATCAATCAGGTGGACAGTTTCAGTTGAAATTTGTTACTGAAACAGCACATTACTGATGAACTAATAATATAAAGGAACATTAGCAATGCATTGTCTTGCTTGAGACCTTCTCTACTGCTTTATTACAAAGTGTAAGAACAACAGGAAAGAGCAGCACTAGGACTGCATGTGCTCTGTGAGCATTTAGGAGGGAATTAGAAAATGTTTGTATTGGATGAAAATGTCAAACCAGATATAAAAGCTGAACTTCCAGCCTGCCAAGGGATCCTTGTCTCCGTGCCTGCCTCCAGACATGTCATTATTTATGGAGAATTATTATTAAGTAATTTCAATAGCTTGCCATAAAAATTAAGTTACTGGAAGTGTAAATATTAATTTTTTAATCTTTGAGATCAAATACAGCCCAGCTGCACTGCTGGCTTTACAGCCTAAGTTCCATTTTCATGCAGCTACTACCCTTTAAAGTCACTTTGTGCCCTTCGCCAGCTTGTTGTCAACATATTGTATCAAACACCTTTAGATGCAAGGGCATGGGTGCTCACCTGCCTTGTTGAGCATATGTATTTTAATAACAATTAGCTATTTCTGTGACTTCAGCCTAAGGAATTGCCAGGATATGATGATGCCCATACTCCTGAAAACACCCTTTCCCAAACTTTTGAAAGGCAGACATCCATCATGAACCTGGTATCAGTTTATGGGCCTTACAATCCAGCATTCAAAGCTAAGCAAAAGGAGCAGCTTTGGAAAGACTGCACAGGTTCTTGCTGTACATTGTTTCTGTTCTACATGCTTTGGGCATGGAGAAAGTCTTACCAAGGCCTTGCTGGTGGTGTCTGACATGGCACTCATTCTTTGCCTAGATCATGTATTTCACACCTCACAACCACCATCTTGGGCTTCCAAGCCCAGTAGTCAACATTGCCACGTTGATCTGACTCAAGCCCCGTTTTCAAGCCTAGGCTTGTAACCATAAGAGGTAAGAGCACCTCTACATTCCCCCATGGCAGCTGAGACCAAATATAGGGCTGCAGCACATCTGCTGCTTCCCCAAGCCCTTTCCTGTACCCCACTGGAAGCATCCTGGGAAACACAACAGTAAGTAAGCAGCGATCAAAAAAAAGGTGCAAAGAATATTCCAAATGTTTATTATGTATTAAAAATACTGCAAATAAGCCATACAGTTCATTTCACAGTAACCTAAACAACATTGTTCAAGAACTCGAGAAGTCAACAAAGAACAGTGCAGTTCCAACAGTGACAACAATGGTTACCTTAATGCCATGGGTCCCTCTTCCTTTTCTGTTCGCAGTGGGAACAACACTAGATATGGTTAAGTATCTTATTTACCTAGGAGAACTCCTTTTTACTGGTGCTGTTCCCACGAGCACATTACTTCTGGGAGATGCCATTTCTAGGAATTCTTCATCTAACACAGTCAAGGATCTATCTAGTGCAGGGTGAGGTGGGCACAATGCCCATGACCTATTTCCAAGGTATCCATGTGCACACTCCTTTACCAATTCTTTGGAAAAGTTCAAAAGTAAACTTGAAATATTAGAAATGCTCTCCAAAAAGACAGAAACCCAAAAAACCTCCATGACAAAGGGGTTTTTAAAAGAGCATCTAGAGAATTATGACACTTTCTCCTCACTCTTGGCCATCTCCTAGAAGGATCCTTTGCTACCAATGCCCCAGCCTGATGACAAAAATGGTGACAAGAATCAGGTACCAAGTCCTGAATACGTAACAAGAGTTCAGGTCACTGTCAGCTGTGTGAAAACTTGGAAACGTATATGCCAGAGAAGCAATTCTGCTGATTTCATGGTGATTTTCCTTCTTGTGTGTTTTGGAGTGTATTATTATTGTTGTTAGCATGCTTGTTATATATGGAACACAACGGGTGGAATTTTGGTCCTTCTCACTCCTCATTCAAATTTGTGATCATTTTTACAGAGAAATTTTTACAGAGAAAGACCAAATTAGGCCTTCCCAGGAAAGACACCGTACCCTCTTGAAATTAATCCCATCCTTCAGATGTCCCTTCCAAGCACCAGTCTTCTGCACCAGCAGCTGAAGATGCTGGCAAAGAAGCCTGTTATCACAAAGAATCAACCTCTCCAGTCATGTGGTGGAACCCATCTCTTAGGCCTTAGCCCCAGGCAATGCCACTTACCTCAGACTTGTGTTAGCTCCTTGGTACAGATTAAGGATTCACAGAAATCTAGTACAGCTCAGCTGACACCTGGTAAACTGGACACATGGCTGAGTCCCCAACTCCAGAAACAGATGAGGTGCTTCAAACGTGCTCCCCACTTAAGTTTACCACAGTAAACAGTTAAAGACAGGGTGTAGTTTTGCTCATTTGTTTCTGAAGCCAAAACATACCAGTAAAATCCTCAGTGTGTACAGCAGTGTGTACAGAGCAGCTGTAGCCCTTCTGTATCTGGTGTCATAGTGTGAAACACCTTCATGCCATTAGATATGTGCCCATGCTAAAGAGGCTGTAAAGCCTTAGTTACACCATTACAGTTACAGCGGTACAACTTTATAGAGAAGACGAGCCCTTAGAAACTCAACCCCCAACTAACTCATGTTTTCTTAGAACAGAATTTAAGGAGCAAACAAACAAACAACAAAAACCCCCAAAACACTACACAGAAGAGATATAAAGGAAATAAGCAGAACTGTCTCTGTTATTATTCTCATTCTCTTTGGAGGTATCAAATTGCTTTTAAAAAGAGTAAAAAATGGGGCATACAAAAGCTATTTTCCTTAATCCATTATGTGCCCAAGAAGCACTGCTGCCTAAACTTTTTCATGTATTTTTTCTACTTTCACAAACAACCTTTCCAGATCATTCCTCAGGTCATCTATTGAGCTTTTCACAGACTCTAAGTTGTTCTCATTACTTTCTATTTTCACTGAGTAGGCAACTAAACTATCCACTGCAGTTCTTATCATTTTCAAATCAGAATCAACCTGGCTAACAGAAGATCTCAGTTCATCTACAGAGCCTTCCACAGAAGAAAACTTTTCAAGGTAGCCTTGAGAATGTGCTTGACCTGCCTGAAGATTTCCTTGATCCAACAAAGTACTAATTTGCTTCTGGACATCCTGGAGAGCACCAGAGGATGGCAGGTCACTGATACTTTTCCTTAAGTTTTCCACATCGTTGTACAGCGAGGTCTGTGCTTCACCGAGACTTTTCAGAACATCTGTGACTGAAGTTACATCCGTACTTGAGAGACCCTGAAGGGTACTAATGCTTTGTTGTAGGGTACTGAGTTTATTCTCATATTCTGCCTCCTTAGAAAAGAAAGATTGCAACTTTTCACTGCTTTGAGCAACAACAGAAGTTAGAGACTCCAGGCTGTCTTCTATATGCCTCAAGCGAGACTCCAGTCCTTCACTGTTCTTCCCAAAAGTTTCTAATGCTCTTCTGAAGAGTTCATTATCTTCCCATTTGTTGAGGTCAGCTTTAACTTGCAGTAAATCTTCATCAAGTCTTTTAATGTCACTAGGGAGCTGCATAATTGAATCCTCAGCTCTCAGAACTTTCTCTTGTAAAGCTTTTAATGAAAGGTGCTCAGTGTCCGCAGCCTCTTTGAACTTCTCATGTTCTTGTTTGAGGTTGACTAGCTCTTTCACTTCAGTATACACATCAGACTCCATGGAGTCTATTGTACTCTTCAAGGTCTCTATGTCCTTTTCTTTGATTTTCATGGATGCTTGCATCTCATCAAAAGCATCTTTTAGCACCTTAATTTCATGTTTATACACATCTGCCTGTTCTAGTGAACCAACCTTTGTTTTCATATTGTTGATTTCATCTTGGCTCCTTTGCTGGACTTCAGTGAATACAGCAATGTTATCATTTATAGACTTTGTTAGCTCTGTTAGTCTCTCTTCCACTGTGTTTTCTAGAGATGTGAAGTCTCGTTCCCTTGCATCCTTCACCATGTGGATGCCATCAGACAAGTCTTTCAAAATTTCATTTTGCAGCTTCTGAAGCACTTCACTGATACGGTTTATTTCACTCTCCCCTTGTTTAACAGCCTTCTCGGTAACCTCCTGCTTCTGCTGCACAATTTTCATCATGGATTCAAATTCTCCAAATGTGGTTTGAAGAGAATGTACCTAAAACACAAATACACCCAGTTAATACCTGTAATTTCATCCTTTCCCTTTTTGTCCAAGATCCTTATAGCCCTTGTTACCAAGTGAAATGATCAACTTGCAATCCGTCATGCTCCCTACCTGAAGTGACCCTATGGCATACAGGTATGGGAGGCATAACAACTACGGCTTCTAGAGCCTTACAGCTCTATCATAGATACATGTCTTCTTTTGAGGATCCCTGGCCTCACTGACCTGTCACAGATGATCCAGCAAATCCACGTCAGTGAAAAAGGAATTCAAGTCTCCAGACTTTGCATACAGACCACAAGTCCATAAGGGAGGAAGGTGGGGGGGGGGAAGCCAAAAGAACATCTGGCATCAGCTTCTGAATATAGAAAAGCTGGGATTACACTTTATCAGGCAATAATAGCAAAGTCCAATTCCTGATCATGAAAAAGGAGTTTCACAGTAGACAAGAAAGAGACAGGAAAAATTAGGGGGAAAAGGGAGCTGGGATGGACTGCAGAATGAGAGCAGTAATCATGACATTTTACTGCTCCTAGACACCAATGGCGACACAATAGATCTTTCTTGCTAAGTATTTTTTAAGATAAAAAAATTAGAAAGGCTTTAATGTTCTAAATACTTAGTACCTCATTATTCTCACTCCTGCATACACCCACATGCTCTCAGTGAACAGGGCTCATGCATGTACACAGGCAGAGAACAAAGGCGTAGCAGGTGCCAAGGGGCCTGCCTTGCATCTAGCTCAGGTTAACAGAAAGTTGCTACCACCGGATCAGGTAGGCTATTAAACTTCCCAATTACAAAAACTACCTTTACAAGTGGGTTTAGTAGCAGGAAGAGGGAGAACGTCAAGGGGTGAGTGGCCACCACATTCATTTCCTTTCACATTTAAAGGTAAGATCCAGGCCAGAGAAGGACACATTACTTTGTTTTGAGGCCAAGCAGAGTATCAGTCTTAAGACTGATGGGTGTGTGGGTTGTACCTTTTTCAACTTTGTAAAGCAACATAAGAACTCCCACTGGCTGCAACAGGAATCCATCACACAGAAGATACCTCGAGGCTTTGGCAGGATGGCAAGTGCTGAGTAATGCATGTTGCCTTGCCTCACGCTACTCCCTGTGTCTAAGGGGTATATTAATCAGTCATGCCACATGCACTGCCATGTTTACTGATTAGATACACAGCTGGAGGGGTGGTTTTATTTTATAAATAGAAGTAAGTATATTTTATATGGTCCTAGAAAGAAATATACAGAGCTGTCTTTTTTTTCTTTGCAACTGAAGGAAGCTCCAGCACTTCCCAGTCTGACTCTGAACCTAGAAATTATTTTCAAAAGACCTAACAGACTTCCTAACTAGAAATTAAGTTATTTTTATGTGTTTTTGCAAAGCCCTGGCCAAATCCTCTTTAGTTTTCATGGAAGTCTACACTGTGTAAGGATTGTAGAGTTTGCCATGAGATTTGCCCTTGCTTCAACAGATCACTCCAGTTTGAGGAATAGCCATAAAGGTGACTTCTTTTTTCCACACTCTTCTGTAAAAAGGTTTCTAACGATTTTACATTCCCCACACTGGTATTCTCTAGTGCTCCCATACCAAACTAGAAATGAGCTAAGGGGGAGGGGTGGAGAAGGTAGTACTGCTATACACATTGCAGCTGGGCACCAGCCATTAGACTGATTTACCAACCTCATTTTCATTACATCTTAGCTGTCATTCTGATTCTTTCCACAAAGAGGTTTTTCTGTATCACTATAAAGGGACTTTAGAAATCTTACAGGAGGGCACAGGAAAATTCTCCCCCTCGTATGACAGAATTTATTTTCTTTGATGCACTCCAACTAAATCACCAAATTTGTATTTGCAAGTAACTATCTTCAACTGTCAGTCTAAAAAAAGGCATCAGAAATAGCCAGAACACTCCACAGGGCCAGGTCTCTGCTGCTATATGACTGACAGAGACAGATCCCATCGCTCCACAGTGGAAGTACTTTATACCTGCTCCTCCACTGCCTTCAGGCAATGCTCATGGTGTAAAAGTTGAAGCTATTCTCCTACACTTCCAGCTGGACCAGCCATTTGGAGATCAGTGAGCTCTGATATAATTAAATTGGTCTTCAAATTAGACCAGCTTCTAATCTGACCTGTCCTAACCAAGAGCCACCAGGGCCCAAAGCAAACCCCTTGCACAAGAGGGGTAAAACTCACAACTCCAAAGCAGGAGTTCACATTCACTACGCAGTGGTTTGTGTGTGCACCCGCAGGTGAGTTTGCCTTTTTGCCACACCTGGCTGGTAAGGTTTGACGCCATAGCCCTTGAAATATTTAACATCGCAAATAAAACATAAAAATGTACCTACAGCTAATTACTCTGTCTTCTCTAACTGGTCATATTGTCTTGTGTTTAAACACAAAACGACCTTGGCCTCTCTGAGAATGGTGCTATGTTAAAGACTAAACTTCCACATGATTTCCTTTCTCCTCGATGTGTAAAGTAGATGAGTTTACATAACGCTTACTCCTGACAGGAGCTCCCTGCAGTCAAAGACTGAAGGGCAAAGCCACACAGCAGCCTGCACTGACCACATTCTGCAAGTACAACACAGGATTCTACACCTTTGTAAAGCAATGAAATACAGCCTGGTCTCCTCTCCTTCAAGTACATTCTTCTGTAAAGACAACACCAAACCACAGCAAGCAAAACTTTCAAGGTTACATCGAAACTCTTTCGCCCACCTTTAATTCTTGCACTACTGTATGTCTAACATCAGCCATCTGCTGTACATAGACAAGTAAGTTTCAGTTCTCTTTGAAACCAACTATTTATAAACTTCCTAGAATATAGGAAGTTTATAAATATACCTATATTGATAGTATACACTCTCCTAGAATATGTAACACGTACCTATGATTTCCTGCAATGACATGGAGATGGAAGGCAGCAAATTGTACCCATTCCTTTGCTTGGAAGGGCTTATATATTGCACATACATCTGGGTTCTATACTCACATATTATAGTTTTACATCTTGTAATCGCAATTTCTTCCTTCCTACTAACAGTCCATAAAAATGCCTTAAAAACTAGTAAAAAGCAACCTTTGCTAGTTCCAATCATGGCCCCGTCAGCAGCGAGTAAAACCCCCAGGATTTAAAATTAGCTTCAGAAACAGCACTATAGCCCTGAATTTTAAAACCCCTTTCCCCCCTTCACGCAAGTTTTCCTTTTCCTTCTTGTTGCACGGGAGAGGAAACACCAAGACTGACCCTACGGTCTCCACGTGAGCAGGCTGCTGTGCTTGTGGAAGTACTACCGAAGAGGATCTCTGCCAGTGCCTGCCCCCTCTCCCTGTCCCCCATCACCAGCCCAGGCCCAAGCTCACAGGGAACACAGGGAATCTGCATGGTTTGCCATGAAGAGAGCAGTCAAGCTGAGACAAGAATTTCCTTTTCTTTGGTCTGACTCAGTCATAACTTTACATACTGCCTTCCAACCAATTTAACTACTCCCTAGACAGGAACTTGGTTGCGTGTTGATGATATGCATTCGTAGATGCCATTTTTAAAGGCTTTAGGCACCCTAAGATGTACTCAGATGGACAGTGCTATTTGTGAAACTCCAGCTGAGAGGCTAGTCAGGGCCTGAGTGAAAAAAATGAGAAGGGAAATGAGCATTTATTTCACTTCAGTTGAGCCACACCCTGTGCCAACAACTTCACAGCTCTTCCAGGATCCTGGACTGCCTTGGACTCTGCGTCTCACTCCCTTGGTCGGAGATAGCAGCAGGAACGTGGGAGGCAGGGTACAGCAGAAGCAGCGTTTCTGGCCCAGCCTCTGCTGTTCGGTGAAGCTGACATGGGTTTTGTTTTCTAGAGAGTGTGGAGACATCGAGACAGGACCCTGCCACGTCTGACGGCGCTGCCACATCGGCACATACACCTGGCCGCTCGATGCGGCAGCTGGGTTAAATGATTTTCGGGCCTCGGAGATACAGAATTACGGCCCGCAGGCTCTCTCGGAACGGCAGGTCTGCACCGCTGCCAACACGTAAGCGTGCGGGCTGCATTCCATAAAATGGCTTCAGGCCCTGGAAAAGCGAGCTGGGGGCTGCGGCCACTGCCGCGGGGTCC